ATTAAGGATCATATTCTTTTTAAAAACCCTGTTTTTCTTGGTCAGGCCGGAAACTTATCAATCCACCCTCGTATATTTGACTTACTATACTCTAAACAAGTAAATTGCAAATAAAATGGAACTATGTATATATAACTGTACCAATATGTTTGTTGTTTGTGTTATCAAAGATTATTTATCTTCTTGGCAGATGGTTTTATCCGCTTTCCCTGTATCATCCGCTTCTTACCTGTTGCTGACGTTTAATATGTAAAACTCATTAACGACGTCACCGTATTGCTTATTACTACATTACACAGATGACTCATTTCATTTCGGCTAATAGTTTTGTATTAATAAATACAACTTTAATTCTATTAAAGCATAATATTCCCATTTTAAGAAAAGTTAGTTGAACACAAATTAAATCAAATTTTGTAAAACTATTTGCTAATCGAAATTCAACTTTCAAAGTTACCATTTTTTTAATGAAGTGTTAATATATACATAAATTTTCTTTTGTCTATATTATTTGTATTTGTAAAATTGAGATTATATGTGTACAATTTTTATTTTTGGAAATTTTAACATATAAAATACATGTGAAAATCTTAATAAGTTTTTCTAATACAAGTATGAGGTACTTTTATCAGTAGTATTGCAAAAGTCACAAATTTACTAACACAGATCGACACCTATTTTATTTAAATATACATATTTTTATGTCAATTTCATATTTTATGTTTTTTTTTGCAATTTTTGAAATAAACTTCCTGTATGTATGTTTTATGCTGTAATAATTTCATACAAGGCGAAAACTGCTTATTTCTTCGCATAAACTATATTGCGGTTGTTCATCAGCTATTTTTCGTTCACACCTTGCTTGTGTATTCCATTTCCATTACTGTGTATGATGTGCTGGCGAGTAGTATCCAATCAAAAGCAAGTTTTCAACTCGAAAGTGTATTCTGTTTAATTTATTAATTTATTTTAAGTAAGTTATCGCATTATCACTGATGGAGTGTAATAAATGAGTATTATCATAATCAGTCTCTGTCGAAATAAATTTCATGATTGTCACTAGTTTTGTTTTACTTATCAGTTTGATAGCTAAAGCCAGAATAGGCTTTCTATTGGGGACTACTAGCGACACAGTTGAGGGTATGCATAAAGTTGAATGCTTAGTATTTCTCATTTTTTGAGGATGCACTCCCTGAATACTGACCTAAATTTTTGTTTGTTTAGTGAAAGACCAAAATTAATTGGGCGAAAGGGGATGGGGGTGTCCAAATTAAAAAAAACTCATCTACAGAATCTACTCTAATTTTTATGCATTTAAAATGTGAGACAATACTATGGTCTCAACTTCATGCATACCCACCACTCAGTAACTGAAATAGTTATATATGTATAGGGCTGGGCGATTATTAAATTTAACAATTGATTTTCGATTGCAAAAAAAATAATTTGTTATTTCGGTAAATAAATAATCGATTATCCAATTAATCGAATTTTTGGTTTAGTCAGTTATTTTAGAAGTGAAAAAAACGGATTAAATTTCCATTAATTTGCCCAGCTCCAGTAATGTATTCATGAATTGAGTTTGACTTTTATGGTTTCTGTTTTTTCCCTCTCGTATTTAGGTTGCGACGAAGGTAATGAAACATCTGATTGAGGAATTCGCATCAGCCGACTTGTTCGGCCGTGACAATTACGAATTCTATGCGCGAGTGACTGGACGAATTTTGCGCGTACAGGGTGAATGGATATGTTCATTCCAATATCCTCCACCTCCACCGAAAGGACATGCTACCCAACAGCTTTACGCAAGTGAATACGCCGCATTGGAGCACTATCTGCTCGGTAAGTTTGTTTTTCGGTCCTTTTTTTTGCAACAATTTCTTTTGCTTTCTTTTTTGTTGTTGCCTAACGATACTGAAAAAGGTATAATTTGTATTTGGACAGTCTTCGATTACTATAATTATTGTACAGAATGTATCAGAAAACGATTTCTAGCAAAAAAATTGAAATTTATCAACATTCGTCAGTTAGCCTTCCACTTCGTAGGACATTGTGTATATTGTGAAGCTGTATAAAATGAGGTGTTTGAAAAAAAAAGTATAAAAAATCAAATTCATGAGCAGAAACGACACACTTTTAGATTAATATTATATATAAAAGAAATTATTGGTGCTCTCAGCAGAGGGTAAAGTAGTATTACGTAGTTAGTATCAGCAATTTCTTATGCTGAAGTGTACGATGTGTTGCATACCTATTTACAAACAATTCCTTTAAATTTAATTTTTCAAACAATTTTGAACACAAAGAAAGTAATTAAACAAATTGTTCACAAAAGTGAATTTAGACCACTCGAAGCGATGGTGCTAACAGTTTCGAGGTCACAGTGTTAAATTATTTTATTGTACTTATTATGCGTATTTTTGTAATTTTGAATAGTATCAAGGAAGCTTGTGCTTTTTTGCTTCATAGCGAATCATTTCATAAACCGTAACATATTCAGCTTACGATAGTGCTGGAAAATTATACGCTCTCTGCTCGTATATTTTAGCGCACTGTGATAGGAATTGTTAGGAGTGTCTTGATGTCGAATATTATCGTTTAATTTTGTCAGTTAACTATTTTTTGCTCCAATCAGTGCACCTGTTTGCAATCTTTATTACTGTTTTTCTGAGCTAGGAAATTTGTCTTTCCTAACACCACTTCTAAACTTCTCAGGTCTTTCAGCTCCTACCATTAAGGATCATATTCCTATTTTGCCAATTTTTTTGTTTGTTCTTTAATAATTTTACTCTAAAATTGTGTCTTCTTTAAAATTTATATGTATAAGGTTCTTTTTTTCTTAAAACTTTGAAATAACTGATGCTTTTCAATTTTACACTTCTTTAGTTTTCTTTTGTTCCTATCCAATGTCTTACGGTTTAGTAACTTCTCGAAAACTCATCTTATGAGTTACTTTGGAAAATTCATTACTCAAAGAGCGTTCAGTTATTTTGGAATTTGTATTTTTTTAAAGGACAACTATCCATCGAGGCTGAAAAGACTTGGTTGCAGTGCGAGTGCGATAGATGGCGGTTAAAGTATGGTCTAGAAGGTAAAGAGAACATTGATGAGAGTAGTACTACCCTCTGATAAGTTATCATTACTATCTATTATTATTCACGCTGTTCTTTAAAGTAGTATTTCGTATACATGTAGTTTCGTTTGTACATTTTTTATTAATTAAATTCAAAGTACCTTATTATGTTATTCCAAATAGTGTATAGTATTTAGATTTTCCAGTATTGTACATCACAAAACAGATTAACACTGTGATATTTTTTACTAAAAATAAATTTTGTATTTTTTGTACACAGTTTTTTTATTATCTCTTTTTTTGCTGTGGTGGAAGGTTAGGTGCTTTTTCTTCTTTTTTTAGATTTACACAAAATTTTAGTTACACATCACGTCTGTAGTATAATTTTTATTAATTTGTTATATATTATGACAAGTTGATCTCAGAACATATGTTCAGTAATTTGCATGTTAATTATAGGCAAAAAGCATGTTTTGCATGTACAATGTATAAATGTACAAATGCACAAAATTAAACTTTTTAGTTACTGCGTTATTGCATATATTGCTTTTTGAACGTACCTCCAGTTCTTATTTCATTTTGAATAATTCGAATTGTACATACAAACTGTAAATTTCATTTACATACTTAAATTTAAAATATAACCAGAAGAGTTTATTCTTTCCCAAATTTCCTCTATCTATGTCCTTGTTTTATCTCTATATTGCGATAATGTCATGGCTCTTCAAGTTCACATTTAATGTCTACGTTTCATTCAACACTAAATTTCTTTTAGAATATGAATTTTAAAAATCGTTAATGTACATATATAATACATTTATATGTATTTATCACAAACTGCTTAAGATTATAGAAATATAAAAAATTATATTAAGAAAATGCCTTATCTGAAAATAGTGCGATTATGAAGTAATTTTCATCATTAAGTTGCATTTTTTAATTAATTAGCAAGCGAATAACAGTTATAAACGTTCATTGTGTAACCCTACAGGAATCACAGTTTTTCATCTTGCTTTTCATTATAAATAATTATTTGCTTGCATAGCTTATATTTAATTATATTAATTACACTTATAATCTAATTTTAAAAATTATGTATTTCATTTAATAAATTAAGTGGCATGAGTACACTCGCAAGTCGGTTAATAAAAAAATAGTAGGTCACAATGCAATTAATTGCATTTAAGGTAACAAATATTAAATTACAATGATCTGGTCCATTCAACTTTGTTTATGAAAATTTGGGTTAATTCATTGTTGAATTACTAGTTTGACCATTAATTAAATTACTAAAGCTATAAGTCTACAACACTTGCATACAGCATGGTTTGAGAATGTATAATTTTTGTGGGGTGGATATTTTTATCAGATAAAAATTGTAGGTATAAATTATTCTAAATTTAAATCCACACCACCACTATTAAAATTTGCATTTTCTACAGTATTATTTTTATTTCACAAGAAGTTAATCTTTTGGGTTACTCTGTAACCTAACCATTGCTTTAATGAATAATTTATATGTTATATGTTTTCTACTTGATACAAAATAATTGAAAACAATAAATTGTATTTTCTTAATTCCTTTTTCTGCACGCATTGGAAATGTTGGCATGAAGAATTGAACTGTGTAGCATTTTTTTTTTGTAAAAAAGGACAAAAGCTAAATTCTGGATGGCCTATATTTTGTTAAATAGTGTAGTGTGTCCGATAATAAAATAACTGACATACACCCATGTCTGAAACAGAGAAGGGACAGTCAACGCCTGCTTTAGCAGAAGCAGGATTTCCAACTCAAACCGCTAGTTCCACTTCGCTGGGAATCATTGCTGAACATACGCTTCTGGAGTCATGCACACGTCTGTCGATTTCCCTAGAGCAGGATGGATTATTTCAGGTGAAAAAAGTTTCATTTGCGTAAATCGGTCAAAATTTTAATAAGACTAAGTCCATTAAATTTAGATAATAATCAGTTGTATACATTTAAAATGGCTGAAGGTCTAATGTGTCTCTTTATTCCAGACTCGGACAAATTCTCATTCGTCAAGTGAGAGTCATTCGTCAAAAAATAGTAGCCACATCACTCCACGGATGACATTGGACGAGTTGCGCGCCGTTAATCGCTATGCGGAAAGTACAAGAAGTTTAAGTTATTTACCTCAGGTAGATGTGAGTGTCTATGTGTATGAACGTGTATTTTTTAAAAAATTTGCTATTTACAGGTTCATGAAAGACAACGAGCAAGAATGCTAACTAGATCGCAGTGGTTTTTAACGCCTACCGCTGAATGTAGTAACTGTGGAGGATCATTGGATCTTCAACTGGCCGAGGCCGACGTTACAGCTTTTACTAATGCTTTAGTTAGAAAATCATCTTCTGGCACAATAGGTAAACATTTAATATTGGAACTTTAAACGTAGAAAGGTACAACAGAAACACTTGTAATAGGGTTTGCGACATCAAAAGAAATGGTTTTTTTTACTCGTATGTTTATGTGTGACCTATTTGTGGCCTCATAGCTAATCAATTAACCAACCTACATGCACGTATTTAAGTTTTTTTACAAGTCTGAAATATGACTTGCTGATTTAAGAATTTGAATAAAATAATAATAAAACAATAACTTATAAGAACCTGATTCAGGTAAAAATGAGTATTTATTTTCAATCGACCAACGTTTTGCCCTTCGGTTTAGCTCTACCTCAAGGTAATAGAATTGTTAATACACGTGGAAGTTTACAGTAAACCTTATGGACAGACAATTCCATTATATAAAGCATGTAACATAACTATTTAATTTTCACCTATACGTATTATTGATAAGCTCTATTCTTTAGTTTTACCCTTAATGTAAGTGGAGGAGCTACCAGCATTACTAGCGGTTTTTTTGTAATAAATGGAATGTTTTTTCAGTTGGGCTCTCCTTGAGTGCTGAATCTATACAAAAGAAACCGAGTATCAGACGCCAAAATTCCAGAGACAAACGTCAGTATCTTTATCGTTCTAATAGCCACAGGAACAAAGAAAATGGATCTAAATCAAACAGGTATTCATTTTGTCAGTTTATTTATAATATTCATTATACTCTTTTTAAGGGTAGATTATGATGTACCTTATTTTTTTAACTTAATAATTTTTGATAGCACCTTTAAGTTAATTTTCTTACAGTAAGTTTGTAGAATGTTTTGTTTCATTTAGCTTTAAAAATCGAGGAGAAAGGAAGAATTCACAAAGTAGATCGGGCAGTTTCAAAATAAAATACGAGGGCATGTCAAGATCTAACAGTTTAAAGGGCAAAGGGGATAAGTGCTCTTGTAGTAATTCAGAAAAAACTAAAGAAGAGGAAAAAGAGATAAGCAAAAGTCCAAGTTCTCAAACAATTTGTGTCACCTTAACTTATAAGCCACGCATTTAATAAACCTTATGTACTCAAAACACAAATACACCGATTTTAACTTCGAATTTTTTAAAAAACGTGATTAAAAGTATTTTTTATATTACAACTGAATTCGACGTATCTAGTGTGAAAGGTACAAATTAACAACGTTTAAGGTCATTAATTAGAGTTTTGTAAAGGAGGTTGAAATGTTTTGTTTGTTTTGAAAATTTGCATTTGATGCTGTGATAGTTTCTCTATAAGATTATTAATTTATTGTTAACGAATGATGAACATAAATTTATTCAAGCTAAGAATAAACCGAAAGGGTATCCTGAATTAAAAATTAACACTACTAATATAAAGTAAATTATTGTTTTCTTTTTGTTTTAAAACAATGCGTTGAATTTGTTTTTGTTTAGTGTTGAATTAAATACTCATTCTTATTACAAAGTGCAAGTTTTGAAAACGTTCTCCTTAATTTTCCGAAAATATACGAACTCGTGGCTCATCATTAAGTTAGCATTAGTCAGTTAATCGAAAAGTATTTCGATCACACATTTTGTTTAAGCGCAAAATGCAGACCAAAATAATTATTCAAAACTAAGACTGCATTCCAAAAACTAGTAAACCAAAAAAGCATTTATTTTATGTAGTTTTTAGGGTTCTAATATAATATATAAATACATATGCATGGCATTTAAAAATTCCCAAGTTTGGTAATTTTTGAAAGCTGTAATTCATTCAAAGGAAATATTTTTATGTTAAGAGGAACGCATCATGCGATTAATATCTTTTATAATGTACAGGGTGTTTCATAAAAGAAGGCATCGAAGACAGTTTCATAATATTTGGTTCAAATAACTAGTCTGAGAATATTTAAAAATTTTGTAAAAAAATGTTTTTAATTCATTTTTTATTGAAACATAATTATTTTGGTGTTCAAACCATTTCCCATCGTTTTATTAAATATTTTCTTACTTTGAAGACACCCTGTATAACGTTTATTGTTTGCACTATTGTTTATAATTATTAATTACAATTGCAGGTGGTTTTGGTTGGTTTTTATAGTTTATTATTTTACATTCACATCACTTATTATATTACCTAATATTCCTGCACCATATTTTTATCACATATTTTTGTTCTTATTTTTAAGTCAACAGGGAGTACCCGTTATTATAATAAAATTAATTGCATGTAAGTGTAACAATTATCTTATATTCAATTAATGTAAACGAGGGAATCACTGGTACATTTGTTTTTTCCTTAATTTATTTGATTAAATCAAAGTAAATTAAAAGATAAAATTAACGACGCTTCTCAATATTGTGGTAGAACCATTGTTGTTTTCATGTGGTTTTTAATAGTGGTTTCCTTTTGATACATTGCCACTAAATTATGATATTGGCAAGGAAAAAACTTTTTTTTTGTTGTCTTTATAAAAGTGGTTTTCAGAAGGAAACAAACAACAAAAAATATCGATGATGTGTACAGGAGTGCTAGGAAATAGTGATTTCAATAAAATATTTCTCTTTTTAGTGTCATTACAATCGAAAACAACAATTTTACAACCAGAAATAAAAAAGTTTATTTTCCGTAAAATTATTAATAATTATATTAGTAGATGAACGTAAAATTATTTGTGTAGGTTAATGCAGATGAAATTTAATTAAAAAAAGTATTGTATCGACAAACGTATTGCTAGAGTAGCGCAGGCGGACTAAGTTCGAATCTTCTTATGTTAGGTAAAAGTAAAATAAATTGATTGAATATCGATCACACGCGATACTTGTAATAAGAATTAAGATATGTCAAAAAAGTTTGGACATTTTCATGTTGATTTGCCTTCTTTTATAGTGTTGCAGTTAGTACCAAAAAAGGACAAGCTTAATAATTATGCGCACATTACTTTTTTAAATTGTAATTAAATTAATTGTAAGAAAAGTTGTCTAGTTAATGTACATTAATGAAAAAAGCTCAGGGATTTTCATAATTAATAATTGTTACAGTTGTTTTAATGAGAACTGCACATGTCGAAAGTTGTAAATTAATTGCTAATAATTATAATACATACCCCTATATAACATTGGTAATATCTGATAATTTAATGTTTTCTATTTTTATTAATCTGAACAATTCATAAAATAATTAAGAACGAAATAGTTAATATCGTAAAATTAAATATTTGTTCAATTTACATTCCAGCTTATATTTATTGAAATTAATGTGTCATGATATTTTTATAAGAATAACCGAATTAAAAAAATCACTACTTCCTGGTACCATTCAAATGTGTAGTTTAAAAATACTGTCTTTTATATTGTAATGATTATCGATGTATGAAAGTAAGTAACAGCTAATTTTCGTTTTGGTTACCTCGTGCCTGTTTGCTGAATGTATCGACTGCATGTGTTCAAAATGTGAGCATTCAAGACACAAGTGATAATGCCGTCGTTTTATCTCACAATACAAATGTAAACACCAATGTCAACAATTTTTCAAGTTTTACATTTTTCTTATGAATTTTTAATAGCGAGAATATTGTACAAGCGTTTTCTTTTGAGTATTTTTAGTAATGTGATCGAATGTATTTCAGCGGCTTAAAAATACAGTTTGAGAACAGGCGAGACAGTTCCGTCGTCAGATGAATTTTGTAAAAAAGTATATTGAGAGGACGGGGTATAGCGTTTTAAATTTACTTAAAATGTCAAACGTTTCACATCACCGAATAAATAACTTCAATGACAATGAGATCTAATTGTAATATTCAAATTTGAATATTATCAAACATCACCAAAAAGACTTCTACTTTGTCTTCACTTTAAGCCTATGTTTAGTAAGTTTATCCCTACTCCCATCATAAAACATAAAAAAGTTTGAGAAAATGCATATAAGATTAATAGGCACATATTTACTAAAAAAGGAGTTAAAAATTGTACAGTTTTTTCAAGAAACCACATTTTTATTGATAATGATTATTCACTCGTACTGTATGGTATAAATTTAAATAAAATAGAATGTAGAGAACTTTAATTATTCAAAATCTTTATATACATGCTTAAATCTAAATTACACTAAAACTGATTTTAGAAGTAAAAATAGAAACTGATAGTGTAATAATGAGATTTATTATTGTCTTCTTCATTTTCTGCATTCATGAGTGAATATAGATAATGACAATTTTGCAAATTTTTAAGTGATTGGTAGATAATTGTTCACTGTACTGTTGACGAATTATATTTTATAGCGTAATTTTAAACTATTTCTTTTTGAATTCACAAATTATTTTTATGTACACAAAAATTTCAAAAACAGTATTACATGGTTCTTATAAAATGTTGGAAAATTCATCTTTTGACGGAACTTAAAGTTTAGTAAAAGAAAAACATAAAAGCTGCTCACAAGCATAGTCAGATTGTATTTTTATAACTTCTTTTTTTTTACTCAGAATGTATTTTATGAAGTCATATATGTATCCAAAATAGTATTCGTAAATTATGTATTATGCACAAAGGCTTACATATGAAAAGCAAAACTTTAAATGTAAAAGTGTTTGTTTTTCTTTTGATGCCTTTGGATTATAAATTCAGATTACTAATGTATACAAGTGTTTTAGGACTTTTATTTCTTTTGCTAAAATTTTTAAATTTTGTCAGTATTCTACAAGTTTTATGCCAAACATGTTAATAAAATTTTTAATTATATGTGGTTTTATTCAAAGTAATTGATTCCAAGTAAGAGGATAAACCGATAAATTAAACCAATTGTATTACTTTATTTTACCTAAATATATACATTCGTTTGCAAGAACTCAAACTATTCGTACAAAAATTGCATAAAAATATATGCAATTTTATAGTGTACGTTTTTATTACGAAGGGTAAGTTATGTGACCAGTTCTTATGCACTCCTTTTCAATAAACGTTTAATGCTGAAACCTTTGGTTATGGTGTATTTACTAGCAATAACTTTCCTTCTGAGCTTCTAGTGAATTTGGATATAGAATTGAAAGTCTTCAGAAATTCAAAAAAGCATTGATTTATTCATGAATAGTATTTTTATATCAAGAACGCGACGATCTAATATTTAGTGTTTCATTCAATTGCGATGGTTTTTATTTTTGAAGAAGAAAGAACGCGACGACCTAATGTTTAGTGTTTCATTCAATTGCGATGATTTTTATTTTTGAAAGTAAAAAAAAGTTTAACTGCGTCAAAGATTTGCGACCTATTGGTATTTTGTCTTTGGTTTTATAGAATATTAACCCAAAAACAAAAAAATTAACACCGAAGATGCCCCTCAACGTAGCTAAAATTTTGAATAACAGTTATTCAAATAAATATGAGTGCGTTTGTAACATTAATTTAATTGTAAAGGTAAGTTTGGTCCTCTATATGTCTATATTAAAATTTGTTTCAAATAAGGACTAGGCAACCTTTTCTACTTAGTAGAATAATATTTGAGTAAATACTTTGAAGCATTGACGATTAACATTAAACTGCAATTTCAAATTGTTAATTATATTGAGCTGTGTACCAGGAAATCATAATTTCATAATACTTACAGAGTTTTATCAGAAGTTTATATAATTATTACTTTACTTTATTTTAATACTTTTACTATGTAAGTTTCTTATCTCTTGTTATCTAGATGGTATATTATAGCATAAATTTCAATTTTAATTATTTGGCTGAAAGAAATATTATAAAATTTAACACCTATGTGAATTTATAAAATTATAAAACAAAAATAGGTAAAGCGGCATTTTACTTGCAATTCTACAAACATGATGACAATTTTCTCAATTAATAAGAAAATACTAATAAAATGCAATGAGGTAATTTCCACTTTATACCTATTTTCATAATTATATCAAAAAATATCGAT